ACACTTCGGGGCATCTCATTAGTTATTTCAAGTTCAGACCACTGAAAAGTTCGCGGTGTCATATCCGTTCGTCATTGAAATTCCATTCCGTCGAAGGCCATCGACAGTGCGTGGACGTTCGAACAGGTGAGAAACGATCTGTCCGAATCTTTTAACCTATACCTCGTGCACGCAAGGAAACGCTTGGATAACAAAATTGCGCATACGGGCGAAAGTCGTCATAATGCTCGTAACAAAATCATACGGCCGTGCGCGAGTAACGCGAGTAACTCTCCTCTCTATCACTCTCTTCCTCGCTCATTCTGCCCCCCCCCCTCCCCTCCCTCTTCGGTATTCATCTCTCTATCTCCGTTGAAAACACCAGGAAGAGTGGAGTCAGATACAACGTGGCTCTCCCCGGGGCATCGAGTACCAGAGAAACTCGGCAAACAATTATAACTTCCGGTGGGAAACAGCAGCGTATATCGCCCGGCCGTGCTGCACGGCGCACGTCGTTGCGAAACGCTACATTTATGGTCCCGTTGGTGTTATCGAGCTCTGAATTTCTGGTTTCGGAATTTCCAGTTCCATCGCGCCCCGCGGCTGCGGTCGGCCGCCACCCTCGGCAACGATTACCTTTCTTAGCGCTGCGCGCGATTCGATTCATCCCCCCCGGGCGCGTTCGCTCAGACGCGCGCGGATTCCACCACATCTGGCTACACCGCTGACGCGGGGGAGAGAAGTGGCTTCATATCTCCGCTGACGCGCATGGAAATATCGTTTCCGTTAACCTTTCGCACTCCTAGTGGGATTTCTTGTTTCACGTCAGCTGACTCGAAGCCATTTTCGAGTAAACTACTGACGCGTAAGTAATTAATGCTTCCACGCTTCGCTTCAGTGACTGAGCTGAAATAACAATGTCGAATGACTGACCAAATAGCTTTTCAGTTTCAACAGGAATTCACTCTATTTCGCCTTTCGCCCGCGATCTATTCCTCCGTCGAAGTAATAATATATAATGATAAAATATATAATGAAAAAAGTTTTAATAAACAAATCGGTTTACAATTATTCAGATATATTCTTATCCAATTAAAGAATTATTCGGAACGGAGAAGCGTAAGAACGAATAAATGTCTCTTCAATTCGTTAGTTTGTTATTTATTGTCAAGAGAAAATTCGAAATTTCTCTAGCGAGTTCTCATTTGTGTATCTCGTTTTTATATTCGACACGTGTACAGGCACGTACACGTGTAGTTGGATGCAACGTTCTCGCGTAATCCCTTTCGTCGTCGGACCACAAAGTTTTCCCATTTGGCGAGGTACACACACTTTTGTTTTCACCGCGCGGTAAAACAAATTTTCAGGTGCATTTCGGAGTACTGAGTGTTCTCGTGCATGAGCTCCATTTGACGAGATGCATTCCGCCGCCACCGCGTTTTCTCCTGTCCTTCTTGCAAGATCCACTCGCAAAAAATCATCTCTTGGTCATTCATGACAACGTTATAACAGTAGGCTCACTTTTTCACAAAAAGAGCTCGTACCGAACATATGAATGTTTTGAACATTTAAAGCACTTCTTGGAAGGAGTCGTTAGTGAACATGAACGTTGGAAAAATTATATCGATTTAATAAAAGCGTTTTTTAATATACAAATGCTGTACACAAATGAGTTTTTAATGATATCGCGGCGTAAAAATATGTAAACCGCAAAGCATTAATAATGCTCTGTACTGCAAATAGCAAACTCATAAATATTGATTGCTGAAAGTTCAAGAAAAAAAAAACGAACGTTTACAATTGCTAAGAAATTCGCCAAGAAAGTAGATAATATCCCACAGAAAAGTTCTATAATACTATTCGTGTTATAAAATTATACGTCGTGTAAGAATAAATATAGAAATCAATAGAATAGTTTTTTGTAGATTTATCAAATTTACCGCTTTAAGTAGGTCAGGCCTGTGTATACCGGCAATTAATCATCGGTTGGGTCAAATAAAAAAATCGGTAATTGATGTAATCGCGCAGTGACCAGTAATATGTCATACAGAACAACAGACTGATAATCAATCGAGATTACGGCGAGTGATATCAATTTAGAATACTTAGTACCCTCCGTTCGAGCGTGCATTTCCGTCTAGCTGATCGCCCCCTGCACGAGGTCGCGACTACTTTTTCAACGTCATATCGAAATTGGAAAATCTATCGGGAGTAGCCACGGTTACGATTAATCTTCAACGGCAGTCGTCAGATCGCGAGCTTCTCGATATTTTACTCGTGCCGATATGACGTTTGGCCGCACCGAGAGCAACGGTCAGCGCCGGATTATAGGAAACCGGGCGCGGGAGAGACGGCGCGGCGCTGCGACAAATCGATCATCGAAATACGTTTCTTATCGGATCCCCGCCAGGGTCTCCGCGTACTTGAAGGTGAAAAGTTGACCCGCGCGATCCCTCGCGTGAGATTTCGGGTCCCGAGGTTTCAACGCAACATTATGTCGCGACATGCTCCGCGGCACGGAGACGAAACTGGGTACAAGTGTAATGTAAGACCGCGTGTACATCGGCGAGCGATAAGCGATGACTTGCGAGCGATGAATGGGAAGGTGAGTAAGCACGCCAGCTATTAAATAAAATTCATAAACACGCGTTATTCAATGAAATTGTATACATCACCGATAATCACGGTAGTGTTGCGTGAAACCAGAGCAGGATCGATAGTCCATATATTATCGGATAGTGATAATTATTGATTATAGCATTTCTGTGTGGTTATCGGTGAATATATAACCTATATCGTAATGGAATCTTTATTGAATGGAATGAAATTTTTAAGAACTTCGTTAATATTTCACACAGTTTTAATTTTTAATGATATTTCAAGATAACACGTGAATTACAAACGTTATCATTTTCGTTGTCACGTTCATTGAGTTGCTCGGAATTATTTTTTTGCAAATAAATTTTCGCGCTTGCTTCAAAACTCGAAGCTCATCGCTTATCGTTTACCAATGTCCACGATGTTTAATGGTGTGCGAGGAACATAATACGACGGTGGAAAAAAAGTAAAAGTAAAAATGGTAAATCTAAATATTAAAATAAACACGACAGTAACCGCATTTATCATGAAATATTTTTGCGCTATGGAGAATAAAGCGATCACAATCCAGATAGTATTCTTGCGACATAAAAATCGATTGTAAAAAATCATCGTTACCGAGTTACAGAGCGTTGTGAAATTACGGAAATGAATCGCACGTTGTACGCTCTCTGCCTGGTATCTCCTTTTGTAAAATCCCACGAGATTTTCGAGGCGGATCAATGTAGGACGGAAATCCAATGTCCCGAAAATCCATGGCTGTCAAAATATCGCAGATGCAACGGGAGTAGTAACATCCGTTGAAGGCCGTCGTACGGATTTTAGAGCGTCGCGATGTCATCCGTGACATCTTGTCAGAAAAGTAAATGGCGAAATCAATTTCGAAAATAAGAGGAAAGGAAACGTTCCACAATCTCGTTAGTATTTCCATTGCCGAAGCTTTGTGTCCCAATTTATATGACAATCCACGATCGTTTTCTCAATACAAAATAATGATACAGAAACGAACGGAATTACAGGTTAATGGACAATGGATACAGCCAGAATTTTAAATCTACAACAACATTGTTAAAAATTCACTCGCTAATCGAATCGTTCTTGGGTCGCATGAATCTTTAAACATTATTAAAGTTTTACGAAATGCAAGGGGAAATGGACGAATCAAAATACGAAATAGTGGTACGCTTTTATCAAAAGCAATTTATCATGGGTTGTCAACTCGGATAATTCAACGCAGTTATTAGCTTCTCGAACTTCGTTTCCGACTTCATTTAAATATCTCGCTTTTCCGATCTGATAGTAATGACAAATATAAAAAGCGCAAGCTGTTAATACATTACAGAACTCACGTACAAAACACGAATAAATAATCAAAGAATAAAAAAACTTTCGATAAAAAGAAGAATACGGATTTCTTGTTAAAAAAAATATTTATCATACTACAATGAGAAATCTCGATAATATGTTAAAATATTGCCACGTTTCCTTTCCACAAAGCTTGGTAATAAAAGTAAATTCTCCGCTATTACCAAAGAAAGATAATATCGTAGCAGTGCTAAAGCACTGAGACTTAACAGTCTTATATCAATCGCGTCTTATCAGTTGTGACTGATAAGAAATTTGCAATCGTAAAAGAAGAAAGAGTCGAAAAGAGTCGCACGGAAGATACCTAATAAGATAAGAAAAAAAAATTAATTCAAGTAAAACAATGATGTTTACAATTTTTTTAAACTAATTAATATACTATTTCGATAACAATTACAATGAAAATGATAATAAATATCGACGTGCTCAGATAAGTACAAAAGATAATTGATACATGTAAAATAAGCTTGACTAGCGAATCAAGAATATAAATCTCTCCCTCTCATTTTTCAAGAAAAAGACGTAAAAGACTTACTGTATTGTCTAAGAAGTATATAATAAGCAAAATAATTCCCGAAGAAATATGAAAGAAAGAAATAAGAAAATATTGATCCGGTTGAAAATATGAAAAGTTAATAATGGCAAAACTTTTCATTGTACGTACAATTTTCTTCGAAAGAAAATATCTATGAAACACGTAAACAGAATACGAGTAATAATTTTTTTTTAATATCAATAGAATTTATACTACATCATCTATATAAGAAGAGATTATAATTCAAAGATTAAAGATACTTGTAAAAAAAGCTTTAGGATTTTCGAAGAGACAGGCAAAGCGAGAACAGGAGCACGAGATGCGCCGCAACGAAGCAGAGGACGTACTGAATGCCAGTTGAGGGAGGGAAGTTTGCCGAGCTCGGTGGGGATGCGTTTTACTCTGGAGGGAAGAGATGGGCGGCGTAGGAGAAGGGAAACAGAGAGAGAGAGGCTACTCGGTGTCGCGCGATAACCGTCGCCGAGGTGCAAACCAGCCGCGAATTCGAAAGGCGGCCAGTCGCTGTTCGCGCGTCGACGACGACGCGTCGCGAGGTTCGCTCGTGCGCGGGATTTAACTTAAGAGAGACCCCGCGCTCGTTCCTGCTTGATGCACAGTCGTGTTACATCTCTCGTTGTAAGTGTTCCCATCCGTAAGGGACCGGATGACTTAGCGGAGAAGTGTTTTCTGGTGCCGATGTGAGCGTGATGCTCGCGCGAGTGAAGGAAATATAATTCTGATGATGAAGAAAGGAGCCTAGAAATACATGATCACCGAGTACCAATTTTTGTGTCGATCAGTGTTACGCGTGAAACGAGCGAGAGATTATCTTTTTTTCCTCTAACGCCGATAAAGGGCATGCCTCTTGAATACAGAGAAATTTGTAACATTTTTCCCAAATGCAATCCCGCACAAAGATTCGTCAACGTGGCACGCGAACGCAATTCTCTCGCGACGCAATCGTTGCATAACGCCGCGCGATCGGCGTCACGCGGCAGCTACATCACGCGTCGGAATATTCGCTGCAGCCATACTCCATAGCAGCCGAGACCGCGCGCTCGGCCGTCTGTCGGGTCGTAAAATAAAGCGCGGGGTCGTATCCGCGGCATTGAACCGTGAAGTCGATCGACTGCGTCCACCGACGACGGCCACCAACGTCGTCGTCGCGCGAGACGAGACGAGAAATTCCATCCGGCCGTCGCGTCGCATCGTCGCGACGCGACGGCTGTTTATTCCGTGCGATCGCGCGCCCGACAACGGCTCGCTCGAATGGATCATCGCGAGACCGTAATACTTGATTTCCCACGTGGCATCGTGCGGGCGCGCTATCTCCTACAACCGCGCCAGCTGCGGGGTCGATTAATTGCTCGTTTCTCACCACTATCCCTATCCTCCCCCCCCCCCGAGGAAAGAATCGCCGTCGCCGCCACTCAGAAGACTTAATTGTCGCGTCACGCGTATAAGATCGACATTACACTTGTCGTAGAAGCGTGTCAGTTGTTGCTGATTGCCTGCACTTCAGAGTAGCGATATACGCGTGGAATACTATATTTACAGACTTTGCAGAAAGCTCGTAAATATTTCTCTTTTTCCCTTTTCTTTTAAGAGAAGGATTTTCCATTAACTTTCTGTACGTCAAAGTCATCGCGCGACAAGTAAAATATTGACTCGATCGTGAGAAACGCGCGTCACGAAAATTTTCTTGACGACCGTATCGAATTCCAGACGTTTGATGCTTGCGTTAGACGAGTCGCCTAAAAATTGTACCGCAAAATATTCTGGAAAGAAGAAATTTATATCGCGCATCTCTCTAAGGGGGTTCGTGTTGTAACAATGTTGGAGTACCCTCGGCTGGGCTTTGCCCTTCTCGCCTACTGTTATCTCGAAATTGAAAACAATGCCGCGAGACTAAACATTCCGCCCGGCGTTGCTCTCTGCGTTGCATGCATAACGTTACTTGAGTTACGGAGGCGCAGGGCCGCAGCGGTGCAAATTATGTGCCGCACCTGGATTAAACCGGGAAACGTCGAAAGATATTGCATCCCCAACGGAAAACATCAACCGCTAAGGAATACTTGTCAGATATTGCGCGATTACGAGAAAGGAAATATATTACTTACGAACATGCAATTGATTAAGAAGCCTTATTTTAACTTTTTGCGACAACAAGTTCAATTCATTCACTGATCGAAAAAATATCTCTAATTTTGCGATTGCCATTTTCCTCGAATGTACGATATAAAATAAAGATGGGAAATTACACAATGCAAATTGTCCGCTCAGTAATTTTCCTTCGTTGCAAAAATCAATTTATGTGCAACGAAGAAAAATTACTATATATATATATATACAAGTATTTTATAATCGTACCAACGCGCAAAATCGGTATGATCGCTCGTCAAACAAAAATTTATCTTCCAGGTCGACAAGCGTTAAAGTCTTCATTAAGCGACGGATTATTTGGTGACGGGGGGGGGGGGGAGGGGAGGCAGGCAGGAAAGGGCGGGGAAGCACGGAGAAAAATGTGTCGTTTAGAAAAAGCGGTCGAGCATGTTCTCCGTAATGTAGGTTATCGTCAACTCCGTGCCGATATCAGTCGTATGTCGCATTAAAAACGTGATATCGATAACGAACAAAGCCAATATTTTTTCGCTCACATTCGAAAGCACCGCCATTCGTTATCGTAACAAACATGGAAATGAGCAAGTGCGCGAGAGACGCGGCAGACGCGCCTCTGTACAAACGTGCGTTCTATTCAAACAGAATCATCGGACCGTTACAGCACACCGTATCGCTTGACACACGTGATTTTATTTTTCACGCGCGCAAAACCGACAGTTCGATCCTGCAGGCGTGTTCGGCTCGTCATTGGAAATGTTTGGCTAGTACGAAGCGCGAGACGTACAACTGCATTCGAAAACAGCGATGCGACGCGATGAAATGCATTAGTAAATAACCCGGCCAAAGAACGTTGTGTTGGATAATTCATATCTCGCTGGATAAAGCTAATTTCCAAAACTATTTGGAATAAATGATAAAACTAATAAATAAAGCCAGTGGAGTTATTAACAATTTTAATAACAAAGAACTGTCGATATTACGTTCAAAATTTTTTTTTTTCAAAGGAATTAAATTTTATTACACGCGAATGATCAGCGAAGAAATAAAATGTGCAATCGTTTGACATTTTCCAGCGCACCTATTCTATTCCCGATTACGGATAAAAAATAGTGCAAAACGGGCTCGTCACTCGCTGGAATGAAAGTGCAATGAAGTGGGTCGGAGCGATCTCGGAGTTTCGATAAAACTTCAAAATGCAGCCGTGTTGCACGCCGAAATTGCGACTAAAACGCGGCCACGCCAAACGATCGAAATACACTCGAACGCTTCGGTTGAATTAGCTAAACGCGACACCGGGGCAGAGCTTATCAATAATCGATGTACATAGCCCATCGCTGTGTATTCCTCCTTTCCCCCCTCCCCCTCCCTTATAATACCGCATTAATTCGTCAACCACGTCATGTGCACCTCTAATGACGACTTTATTCAAATCGCATCATTTTAATATGTAAATAATCGAAACGGGTCACCAACCAGCTTGATGAAACTCGACCAACTATTTCCTCGCTATAATGAGACAAACATTCTACTATTGGATTACATCTAAACTCTTCAACTATTTAACGAATTCGCTATTTAGCGAACGCGCCATGCATATAAAATCGTACAATTTACAATATAAACATATTTTGAACAAATAGAGAGAAAAAGAGGGACGAGGAGAGAGAGAGAGAGAGAGAGAGGATTAAAAATACGTAAAATTTTTTTTATTAAAAGAGAGTTAAGTACTCTTCTCAACATTTATCCGTATATCGAGGACGCGGGAATGAAGCAGAAACCTTTGCCGGTCAAATCATCGCCGGATTAACCCTTGTCTCGCGATCAAGCGGGATCGCAGTGCTGAAATCCCTAGCTTAATCCCTGAGTACGAAAAAATTATTCCCCTCTCAGGATCTTTCTGGGACAAGCTACCGCGAGGGGTGAATCCCCGGCGTTTCTCCTTCACTATTTCTGCCTCCGACCTGGCCTCGTTTATCGTTATCGCCGTCTGCGAATGCTTTCCCGGGAGGGTGCGGACAATTCTTACAAGTCGCGGCGATAAAGCGGATGGGAAGATAAGACGTTGCCGAAGGTATAAAGGAAAATGTCGCGAAACCGGGAGGGAGGGGGGGGAGGGGGTTAAATGGTGGACTGCTCGTATAGAAGATCGTCATCGTCTCTTCTCTCTCCCTCTCTCTTGCCTCAAATTGCATGCAGTCATGAAGATTCGCATACGGTATTCCGATGGAGTCGCGCCCAACCGAATAGGGCGCGAGAAGTCGACAACTTACCACATATATATACACGTACGTTGCCGGTGAATCGACGTGGTATTACGAATGAGAGGAAGAGTCACGTAATCGGAAACGATTTACTCCTACACGTACCTTACCCCGTACCTTACTTATCGTCCCCTGTCGAAGAAGCGAGAGAGAGATCGACCGGGATAGCGCTATCCGTTTCATTCAACCGCGTGTTTCAGAAACGATAAACATGCGGACCTTTCCAATTGTCCGCTCTCGAGTTTCAGGCTCGAATATATACGAATATCCATTAGCAAGACGTAAATCAGACGGATCGAAACGTTTAATCGTTGTACCGCACCGGAGATGGGATCCATTCTCCATCGTCGAGTCGGTATAATTTGCGTTTACGTCTTCGTCTCCGTTCGTCCGAGAGTGTATCGATTTCGTTATCAAACTACCATTTCGGCGGTTTCTGTTTTTTTTTTCGGCGTGTATTCTCTTTGGCTCTATTTCTCTACCCTCTGCTTCGCTTGTTATAGTTGCTTCGTTATAGTTGCCGCAAAACCGACGCCCAGTGTGACCTGCTACCGGTCAATTAATCGTGCACGAACGATCACCGCGCACCTGCTCTTTTTCTCTCTCTCTCTCTCTCTCTTCTCGTTTCTTTCTCGATCGTTGCGCCGAGGAACAATAAATATTCGTTAATTGAAAATGATCTACGGGTCGGCGATATACGAGTTTTCTCACGCGATATTATTATCTCTGTTATTGAAAGCGATAACGGGGGATGAGTAATGAAGCGAGAATTAACTTCGCAAACGTGATTAAACTAAAAAGAGCCAATATAAATATTCTTATAAAGAATGCAAGCATTTACTTTACAGATATGTTAATAAAATTAAAACCTATTATTAATATGTGCAATTCGACTTGAGATACACTATTCGGAAGTCAATAAAAATATATACAAAAATTCAAGATAAGATAATTGCAAAGAGCTTGAAACTTCCGATTTGTAATTTTTGCCAAGCCTAAAATTAAATTTTTTGTAACTATCCTAATTAATGCAATGAGCAATTAGCTTAGTAAAAGCACCGCGTTAATAGTGAGGTATCTCTTCATTGCTACTGAAACTGAAGCGAGAAGCTGAGAGGCAGACTGAAAACCGGACGGGAAGAAATTTCGAGCGGTCGTCGTCCGAAGGACTCGACCGTAAAGGGAAATTCTTGAATCCTTTGAGTGAAACCGCCTTTCATTCACAACGCTCTTTTCACGTTTATCGATCCCGCTCGCTTCCACTTCATGCCGTATTATTTTTTCTTCTGTTATTGCCCGAGTAGACAAAACTTCACCGAAAAACGAAGATATCAAAGATATATTTCATTGACTTTATTTATGGCGGTAGTTATCTACAAGTATTTCTGCTTTCTGATGAAACTATCGAATGGATATGGATTATCTATTTAACTTCGAAACGAAGTAATATTGCATTTATTATCGTCGCAATGTAATGATAAAATCAGGCAGAAATTAATTAATGCTGAACGTAATAATGTTTTATAATACTTTAACTCGCTATACGTGATTAAATATGAAACGTATTGAAATATGTTTTTTAGGTTCTTGAAATTAGTGTAAATTAAATGTTTTCATATTTATACTTCATTCCAACATATCTCGAAAAATTTTTTCTGCTTTAACTTATTTATTACTCACTTTATTCTCTCTTTAAATACAACTTCAACTTCAACTTCACTTCTTAACTTGTTAAGTTTAGTATTAAGGAGCCGATGAATATATAAGACGATTTTTTCGTTACATCAGAAGAAGCAGAACTATCGTAAATAACCGAGAAGCAGGTTCGCGGAACGCTAACGCGAAAAGTTTACAGTAACGGCAGTTGACATATTTGTACGATAAACATTACCACGTCATGTCGAGCGAGAGCACTCTGATAACGCAGGAATGTAGGCACGATTAGTCACGCAACGGTATATACGGTGGGCGAGTAGCCGAGTGGCAGATCGCGGATTATCATCATCGGATATTGCAACGCTGTCGTTTGATGCAGCGGTATCGCGTGGCACTTTTCAACAGTTCGTCCGTTCCTGTATGATCGAGTATGATAACGCAACGTAGTATCACTTTGAAAGGGGAAACAAAAACGTTATACCGTCCGATATCGTCGTGCGACATCGCGTCGTATCCTCGTGGAAAAATCATTAATTGAATTTCCGCGGTGAAACAGCCAAAATGAATTTAATAGAAAGAGAATCCGAAAAGTCATTTTATAATTTAATAATACAATCGTAAATAGGACGCGCCCAAAAAAGAAAACAATTATTAAAATAGAAAAACGTTTTCGCCGTGAAAATACAAGTTTTCGATGTACACGTCAATCAATATATTCGAAAAATCTGACGAAGGAAAAAAATGTAATGTTAGAAGGAGAGGGTAGAAGAGAATGAGAAGAGTGCGAGATTCTAATTTCTCTATCCTTACAGAGACGGACTATCGTTTCCAGAGGAATAAGATCGAGGAGAGAGGGAAAACTCTGGTGATAAGACGCAATGTTCGAGAGCGTTGCGCACCGTCACCGACAAAATTGGATCGCGCCAACGTCTCAACGAGGAAGCAAGACATCGAAACGAATGTCGTAGTAGTAGAAGAAAATTCCGCGATTCGGTGGCTCGAATCAGTTTCAAGAATACCGGACGATCATCATCGAGAGGCATGAATTCATTCAGAGACAAGACACAGAATGTTACGTGGCATGTGTCAAGTACCGCGACCAAGTCGAGATAGCTTTCCGTGGTGCAAGCGAGATTAATCGCGAGCGCGATCCAGTCGGCATTTAATCACGCACGCGCTCGGCTAAGGCGAAAATTGAAAGCGTCGGATTCGACGGCGTAGATTTAAAGCGCGCACAGACATGTCGGGGCGACCTAACGGTCGGCTCGACGTGGGATTGCCTGACGCCAGCTCGGTATAAAACAGCCGGTAATAAAGAAGAAGTGGCGTGAGGAAGAAGAGGGAACCCTTTGAGCGCATGGCAGAAGGAGAGAGGGGAGGGGAAGAAGGAGCGAGCGAGAGGCGCAAAATGGGAGCAACGAGATATGTGCTGGGCAGCGCGATCTTAGGACTCTTTTGGAGCAGTCTACTCAAGGGCGTCCTGACCAACTCCACCAGCAGGTGCGATTATCCGCCCTGCTCCTGCGACCAATACGGCAGACTGAACTGCGACTGCAAGGTGGAGGGAGAGGTAGGTTCGACGCGTAAACCGTATCTCCGATAAGTATTCGCGCGAGAATCGATTTTCGATTGAATCTCGGCCTTGATATCGCGCGAAGCCGACGAAAAGATATATAAGCGAATGAAAAAAAAAAATATCGCTCCCCTTATCAGAAACGTAGATCAAGGCACGTATCTTTCGGCTTCGAGACAAGGAAATATATTTTCTCTTCTGGTATTTCAGCTCATCGTATTTTAACTTGGAACCCGACACGGTTCAACACGAACGAAAACATGTAACTCGAATCCTTCTTCGTATAATGAATACCCGCACGTTTCGAGTATATCATTTATAATTACGATAGAATAATACAACGGATAAATTTTAAAAAATAATTTTCTGCTAAACTTATTATTTAATTGTAATTATTTGTCTTTCCACTTTATCCGCTACTCATATTTTTACAAGTTTCTCTTATATACAGAGAGAAAAGAATCTATCTCTCCCTCTTCAATATTAATAATTTTCTATAAAATATTTCATCGTGGCTTCTATGTTACGCAATTTTATATAGACGTTTATTTTCCGGTAGACCCGTTTGAACTTTAGGGTCGGGTTCTAGGGTTAATTCGATTCCATTCTATTCTAATGGGGGTTTCGACGCCCGATCGTATGAGAGTCGTCCGATCTCTGTCTCCGATCTTTCCTAGCCTTTCCACCTTGGAACGATCTGGCGAACGACGATGGAAGAATTCTCGCGCGCGTTCTCTCTCTTTCTCTCTTCCCCAACAACGAATTCCGTGCAGAAACCGCGGCGGGGTCTATCGCTATCGTACGAAAAATCTCAGACAATGCGACACGGGGTCTCTGTCTGCCCGTCCTTTGTTCCGCGAGGGACGTTATTCCATTTGCGAATTACCCGACGGGGAGATAAAGAGGCGGGTACCGCGAGTAGCTTCTTGCGATGGCAAAATCGTAAAACCCGATCTCTCCCGCGGTCAAGAGGGAAGAATAGAAAAAAAAAATACAAGAGAAAACGTTTCCTCAAGATCGTCTTCGCGTATCACTCAAGGCGACAAGAGTCGAGAAACAATAATTGCGTCTCTCACTTTGTTCCTACTGCAAATACTTATAAATCGATGGAAAACGATATTGTAGATGGGAGAAAGAGAGAAAATAGAGGAGACTGATCAGCCGGAACGCGAGTCTAATATCCCGACTACACGGGAGGATTCTCGTAAATCGCGAGGGGTGCTAACCGCGACAGAGGGATGGAAACCCCCATAAATTAGAGCGTGTTTACGCAAATCGGTAGGGTCTCGCGCGGGCGAGAAGGGCAGGCGAGCAGGTAGAGAGGTACGTACACGTACGAGGTAGGATGGATCCCGCCGATCCTTCTTCACCCTCTCTCGTAAATGTTTCGCTTTTATCCCCTCCCCCCCCCCCTGGCGGCCACACACCCTGTACGTTCGAGCGGAGAAAAAATAGCGGGCGAAACCCTCGGCGATCTATGATCACGCGAGCTGTTCGTTCCTTCTACGGCCCGCGTTTCCGACGCTTCCGGCCATCCGCGATATTAAAGGAGCACCGACGCAATCAGGAAGGAGCGTCTGCCTACGTGCAGTTACGCGCGCTCGAGAGATGCACGGATGATTCATAATCGCAACGCGATATCGCGATAAACGAGCACACCGCCAGTCGGACTCGAGAACAGCGCTTCCCGAGAGCACCAGCGAGAACTTTCTTCGTGACGCGCTGGAACCGGAAGTTATCCGGAAGCTGGTATTCGTTAAATCGAATCGAATACGCGAGCGGCGGAAGAGAAGGGGAGAGAGTAAAGCGGAGAAACACAGTAATGCGAGTACTATCGCTTTTTCCACCGCCGGAATTTATTGAATAAATTTGAAAACTCTCTTGCGCGGTGATGAGAGTTTGAAATTCGACTTCGCGAAAGTTTCTTTCCCCGTTCTTCTATCTTTCTTCATCTGAGAGCGTTGCCCTTTTCGACTTTCGTCTTTTTCCTCCGCAATATAGAGAAGCGAGCGATAGTATGAGGTTCAAGTAATACGATAAGAAAGTAATGAATGCGATTCTACGATGGGGATGGCTGCGTGAAATATATATATATATATATATATATATGCGTATACATGTCGCGCTTAACGATTACGCGGCACGATAAAACAATCAACCCCGTTACTACAATTAAAGTCCCTCGCGTTATTTGATTTAAAACTACGAGATTTTATCAATTTCACACGCGGGAATAATTCCGGTATCGCGGCACCGGGTACGGTCTCGCAAACGAGTCTCGTACTCGCCGTACGGAGAGGAAGAGAGGTGTACGCCGCACGGAAATTTAATCGCGGCCACGTTGCTCCGAGCGCGACGCGGACAAATATTTCGCAACGCAACGACGTTGTTTTACTGCGCACCGTATCCCCGGACGAAGGAGAGATAATGTTAACGCGCGTCCTCGTAAGCGTCTCTCCCTGTCGTTATTGTTCCACGATAAAGCGTTCTTTGTATCCGCTCGAGTGCACGAGGAGCATGCATGCCGCGCGCGCGCGCGCTATCGGCGATTTGACAATACCGTAAAATTCGCGCGCGCGTGACGAAATCACCGCCGGAAGAAGATGAGCTTGAGCGAGCGAGCGAGCTTTAACGTCGGGAGAAACGATCTATCTGTCGACGTATATATATATATACATATATATGTTTCTGATACGCTGGCAATTTCGACGACCTTGCACTCGCGCACAGATATACGAGTAAAAAGAGCCGCGCGTGGACTTTATCGTCGAGCGGAAGATATAATAACGCGGATTACAAGAAAGAAGTGGCTCGCTAACGATAAGGAATATAAATTGCTCGAAGCGGGATTGAATTTCTGTTGCGCGGCTAATTGGTCGAAAACGTGCTTCCCATTCATCATCGATGACATATCACGCGTATGGAGTGAACTCATAATTACACTGCAACCGGGAAGCACGGAGGAAACGTGATGGAGGGGAAATTTTAATGCAAACAAATATTATGATATTAATTGATATTTTAATATGTATAAACTCTTACAAATTTAATTTATTTCAAGTATCGTTGTTTCTCAAAATGCAGAATTATGGTCATAAATTAGCTAAATGAATACTAACGTAAATATGCAAAGACATTAGAAATTGTTAAGAAGAAAGTGTTTATAAAAAAAATAATTTTTTCAAATAATTACATGATAGCGATTAATTTATGTGCTATTCGAAATTATCTTCACAGAGAATATAATTCACAAAGACCTTAAAAAGAATGTTTTGAGTATATATACAGTAAAATTAACAATCTAGATAATGAAAAATGGAGATGTAGCTTAAGATGCCAAGTTTCTGGTCAATGATCGTAATTATAATAATTTATATACAAGCTGCTTTCGCGAAAACAGTTTGAATTAAGGCTGGTAATAAAAGGAGCCCGATTTACAAGAGTAATCGAAAACGTTTTAAACTGCTTTTAACAACAGAGAACCGCCGATGGATCCTCTGGATACGAAGTCCTTGGTCGCGCGTTGAATAATTGACGAAAGATATAAATAATTGAAGCCGCCTTTTAGCGAACGCGACCTTAAACTTACTCGCTCTGTCGTAATAAGAGAGAAGACGGCGGAATAAGACGCGGAACGATGAAAAAAAGTGCCCCTCCCGGTCGGGGGTGTAAAAGTAATGGCCGTAAATACTGTCGGAAACGTAAGGGTGCCATTTCCAAGGAAAAGACGCGCGCGGTTATGAAAATACTTGGAAAATGGAAAGGCGATGGGGGAGCGTATAGTCGCAGGCCAACGTGCCGTGCGCCTTCCACGAGAAAATGCAACGGATAAAAATGCACGTTAAGTAAGCAGCAACAATCAGTCTCAGCGGCAATATCGCGGTTATTCCACTGCATAATAAGCTAATAGTAATGAACACGATTGTGACAAAAACATGAATGGAGTATTTCAAGTGTAAAAATACTTCGTTATTTCTGTTAATGAGAAATCGAACTCTCGTGCGAAGTGTTGATTAAAATATAAAAAAAATAAAAAATACGATAATCGCGCACTGTCGGCAGATTTATTATAATTAGCTAACATACGCGAAATAATTAATCAAAATTAATTGCATCAATTATTTTCTCCACAATATAGAAGGGTTATTAAACCCATATGTACGTATCCGAAAAATTCAGACTTTCGCGAGCGAATTTGATGTCACCGCGGGAAAATTGTTGCGCATAAATTCTTTATGGCTCATAAAAGAGCTTTCGGTCCCATTTCTGCCGCTTTCCATTCTCCGTTTCGTTTCCGGTTTCAGCCGAGCGCTTCCTCTCTCCCTCTATCCCTTTCTTTCGCGCGCGGCAGGATCCGACAATCGCGTGTCTCTCCAATGAGCTTAATCCCACCCATTAAACCAATCTCATTTTCATGTTCATCCCGCAAAGTGTCTGCCTATTCGGCGGTGAGCCTTCGAACCGTTCTACCGTTCGATTAGAAACGTAAAAGGCACTTTCGATTACTGCCATAATCGACATTAGATCGCTCGCAATTTCTCGCGGATTATCCCCCGACGAAATCGCGCGCTCCGTCGCGCAGATTTCCCCGCGAATTTGTAACCGGGAAAATGTCACACGGCGAACATGCAAAAAACTGGAAAACTAGTTCGAGGTGAACTAACGCGCGCGCGCGCGCGCGCGCTCGAGTTTAATTCCCATTGGGAATCATTCCTCTAGTAATCGACAAGCGCACCGGCTCGACACGAGAAAAAGGACACAGGGTCAGGAACGTGACGCGTGAAAATGTCCGGAGAGCCTCGGAAGAAGGAAAGTCTACCGTCCATAGAGAGATTCCCCGCTCGAGCGTAACTAAAGCAGAAAATATGAACGGAATAAAGATGTGTTTGTGCTTGAAGGTCGAAAGAAAGCACTACATCGCCCTGTACTTTCCGGTTCCCGCCGAGCTTACCTCACGTTTCTCACAAAACGCGCAAAATTCTCATGAAAGAAAATTCAGATGTCCTTCGGGATCCCGTAGAGTTACGACAATGATTCGATCTGCGGCGACCTACCCATCCATTTGTGAATTTTATGTTTGCGGAACATATCGAGTCGCGTTGTGGATAGATAAGCCGTCACGATATAGAGAAGCCAATTACATTTTTCAATGCAATCGTCTTGGGAGGTTAACATCGAAGATAGTCGTAACTTCTAACATCTAAAAAGCTAATAATTTCTAGGCATTTTTTCCGCATGAGATATAATTTGACAAAGTACGTTTCTGAACAGAATTTTTCTTGTGAAAGAGACTGAAACTTGAATTTCAATGCTTTTCGTGTATCTCCGGACGATGTTCTTCAGACAAGATGCGAGCGATAAAGATAGATTTAGAAATAAGCAAGTACAATACGTTGGTTGATAATCTCTGCTCGACGCTGTGCTTCCAAAAGTAGCCCTGGACAATGAGACAGGAACAAAAGGGGAAGTTTGAACAGAGGCAGAACGGGACAAATGGAGCAAGACATTAAATGCGTAGGAACGACAGGGCCTAAAAAAAGAATCGCATAAAAGCCCTTTTCTTTATTCATCGGCCTATATGTCGCGCTTTTTTTCCCTTTTTCTATTCACTATTTTTACAATTCAACGGATATGCTACTTTGCGTATTTTTTGTTTTCCGCACTGCAATCCTATCAGATAGATCGTTCTTTCAGTTTTATCTTTATCTTTATTTATAAAAAGAGCAACACGTTAGCAAAAAATTTGTTTTAATATAATACGATTCGACGATATTAATATACATTTAATATGATATGATTCTCTTTTCCTCTCTGAACGCGAGGTTTAAACAGAATCGATTAGGCAGGAAAGCGAGATAATTAATGAGAGCAATGTGGCCTCGAGCGACGCGCGCGAGATATCTCGCGCGGCCCCTTTGTAGAAATCAAAGCCGTAGAGAATCGCGACGCGCATTTCGCGATCGACCGTTTCGATATATACACTATATAGGTGTCGGCGGGCGTTATCGGGCGACATTCCGACGTCACGACGAAAGCTGCAACCGGCAGCGAATAAATGAGAGGCAACGAATATATCGCGAGCAACATTCCAATAGCGTGGCTCGATGGCGCGATGGGGAGTGCGCCGCTGCGAGAACATCGCGAAATTATCTGCGTCCGCTCTTCCTTCGATTCCCATCCACCGCCGCGCCGCGCAGATGTACAGAACGATCCTCTGTTCAATATATCGAACGTAGCTGGGCATCGTTTACGTGCGCGACACGTGACGAGTTCGCGCGGAGCGGATAATCCCGCGCAGTCATCTAATTCGTATGCAAGGGCAAACACGTATTAGCACGCGCCAGAGCGGAAAATCCAACAGAACCGATAGCTCGATGTAAATTCGCGCGAGCAGTCGATAGTGGGGAGGGGGGGGGAGGGGAGGGGAGGAAAAAGGCTGACTAAAGAAAGGAGTACGTGACTTTCGTTTAAATCAATGATCTCCGCGAGACGTATCTTTTGACGAGCGCAAAACGGAAACGATTACCGTGTCGCAAAATTAAGCTCTCCTCCGTAATTATGATAACAAGATTATTCGCGGCAATTAGCGAGAGCCGGGCGCGCACGTCGCGAATAATTAGGATAGTTAGATCTACTTGCAATTATAGCTATTCGATCCCTATTAGAGACCTCCCTTCCGCTCTGTTACTGCGTTGTATCAGATTACACTTGAATGCTGCTATTCTTCCTTCTTAATAATCTCAAGAATTTAGTATCTCAGCGAAAGAAAGAAAATGTTTATATATTTCAACTGTTTTTAATATCTTGGTTTCAAAAATATTCTTTTGTTAAAATATCTTTTATTTCTTCAAATAAAAAATAATCTATGATAATTATCAATACAATTTCGCTTTAACATTCGTGGAATAAATTTATAGTTATTACAGTTACGTCTCCCAGCTCTTTCCCATATGCATAACTAAATTAAATATAGATATAAATGTAGATAGTTAAATAATGTCGAAATAAGTTCCTAACAAAAGATCATTTCAATTTGCAGGAATTAATTCTAACCACGGAGGGGGACAGACGGCTGAGTCCACACATCACCAGGATAATGGTGAACAACTGCTCATCCGTGATCCTCGCGAACTCGAGTCTGATCTCAATGACCGGACTGCGAGCGGTGGAGCTGATGAACGTGGCGAATCTGACTCTAGTCAAACATAGCTTCGAATTATCGCCGCACAACGCGCACACGCGAATTTCTGTGCGGAACAGCAGCATCGACGTAATGCCGAGCTTCGTCTTTCGCGGCGACGTCGAGGCGATCACGTTCGAGAACGTGCGGATCGGCCAGCTGAGTGCCTTCTCGTTCGCCAATTTGGTTCACACGGAGAAGCTACGGCTGGAGAACTGTCACGTCGAGACGACGGAGGCACAAGCCTTTAAGAAGTTCGAAGTCGGCTACCTAGACGTGAGAGGCGGCACATTCGGCGATCAGTTGCCGAGTCGCACCCTGAACGACATCGAGGTCTATCACACATTCAGGTTGGACGGCGTGAGAATGGGCGTCGTGAGGAGCAGCGCCTTCATCGTGAGAAGTCCGCGCACGGTTGCGATACAGAACTGCGTGATCGACAACCTGGAGAGCGAGGCTTTCGACGTGACGGCGCAGGGCGCCGTGATCATTAAGAACAACACCTTCGGCAGCATCAGCGTGGGCGCGTTTCTCGGGATACGCGCGGATCGCGAGACCAGGTCGCCGCCGTCGCCGTCGACGCACGACCTCATCTTCAAGAACAACAGCGTCAGCAGCTTCGAGGAGGGCTCGCTGATGTTCGACCGCACGAGTTTCCGACCAGAGCTCGACAGTCTCCTCATCTCGCAGCCATGCGACTGCCAGATGTTACCCGTGTGGAAGAATTATGTGCTCAACTACACCAACGTTTACTCGCGGTTTTATGCGAGAGAAAACTCGCTGGTGCCGCCCCAATCGCAGCCCCAGGAGCCCATCAACGAGACCCCGGAAACCTTCGTGTGTCTGGACGGCGGGATGGACGGCGCGTCGATCAGCTTCGCCGATTACGAGGCGCGTCACTGCTCGCTCGGCGGCTCCATGCTCGTCTTCATTCTAATCATCGTGGGTGCTATTCTCGCCCTGATAGTATGCGTGTGTTTGATCGTCTGGTGCTGTCGGAGGCGCCGGCGGAACAACAGAAAGAAGTGGATTAGCGTGCCGACCAACGCACCTGACGTGGTGTCGAAGAAGAACGGCGTGATTGGCAGGGAGGCCGCGACGTCCGGCGCGCCGGTCGACAGCAGGATAACGATGGTGGTACCGGACGGCAGATTATACCGAGAGACGGAGTTTCATGTGATCGTCGAGAAGGCCGAGCCGCTTACGACCGAGTTGTAACGAGACGCCCCGGGCGGCTCGACGAGGAGGCCCACGATCGTCGCTCCCGTTGAAGAGGAACTCGAGTGGGCGGAAACGTCGAGCCGCTTTAGAGTGTACAAGCTGTGAGAGCTACGAGAGACGCCGCGCGATCGGCGCCAGTGAGGAACAGTAACCGTAAAAACTTTGATCCGATGCACTCGGAGAGAACGTGAGGCGAGAGTCCTTCCAGTGGAGAGAGGAAAATTCCTCGAATGTTAATCGCGTGCGTAAAATATAGACTGCGTAAAACCGTCGTCGTTTGGGGTATAATAGAAACGCGAAATGTACGCGACCCCGCGGAATCGTGTCCCGTTTTTTTTTTTTTTTTTTTTTTAATTTAATTGATTGTCTTTCCTAGTACAATGCAGTTCGTAAGCTTCCATTCACATATCACATGCGGCCGCCGATTATTCAGACCGCGCGTTCCTTTCATTCCTTGGCCCGTCCATCACTTCGAAGGCGGTCACGGCGATTAAAAAGTTTTCAGAACGAGTCGCAAAATTCGGATAATCAGTCGCCGCAGCTAGTTAAGTTTATTATTAAACTTTCGAAGAGAAGAGAAAGCGAGAGGATCAATGTGTCCGTAGAAGATGAAGTGAGACCCTCGTCGAAGCTATGCGACTTAGGAAGCAGAGGAGAGAGGGAGAAGAGCATAACTCGCGTAGAGACAACTAAATTCGCTGTCTTGCGTAAGATACGCGATTGGGCCGACCTTTCGCATTTCCGTTGCTTTAAGTTCAGCGATCGATAGCCCGCGCAGTTATCGACGAAACATTAGTGAGCGTTTCGAGCGAAAATCACGGTACGAAAGGACCAAAAAAGTGGGACGACGCTCGGACAGCTGTGCCATTCCTGGAGTGTGTCACTCATGTCAAACACACATAACTCGTGTCCACTCCACAAAAATTTTGATCTCTCGAACACAAGGAAAAAAAGCGAATAAAATAAAGATGATACTCTTCGCTAAGCTTTCATATCAAAATCGTTTCAAACTATCGTTTTTTATAGGAAAGGTTGATAGCAATGTAACAAGAGCGAAAATAAACCGGCATGATTAATTTACTAACAATAAAAAAATATCCCATATCACCTCATATCAGTGGCGAATTTGTAAGTTAATGGCATATATCGTTTGGTAAATTGTAACAAGTATTTCAATTTCTCTTTCAACTTTAAGTTCATTACTTTGTTATAATTAATAGTTATAACGTCAATTAAAACAAGACCTTGATTATTCTTTTCAAAACACGTTTTTTAACATACGCATCTTTTTATTAATTTTATTAAACATAAAAACTTGTATATTTTTTCAGCAATTTTAAAAGAATCTCTTGGATGAAAACGTTAGCTTTAAGCCCTTGAAAATGTAAATCCGCCACTGCTTCGTATGTGCTTTCGAAAAAAAAAGCGAAGTTCGTCAGACCGTAAAACCAGTGTGTGAATTAATTTTTAACTATATCGTACTGCAAATTCGTTATCACGTTATTTTATGAATGTCTATGCATTTATTTAAAGCAAAGACTCGCTATGAAACTTTGCGATATAAGAAGAAACTGTTATTATTGTTATTATAATTTATATTTAATCTTAAGTAAGTCACGATAAATCAAAAACGTTACGATTGTTCCGCGAAATTTGCTGTGTGTTAAATGTAACGCTGAGAAAAATTTCAGGTGATTTTATAAAACCAAACGAAAAGTACTTGGAATGTACATCCCGCCATATAGCAATATTCATCGATGCGTTTGATCTATGCGTGTAATGAAAACATTTTAAAGGAACTTGATTAGGACTTGAGCGAACGTATTTCTAGATCATAATCGAATGAAAATAAATAAACGTTTTCCCTGTCCCTTTCTCCTTTTTTAATTAAAAGGAGGCATATGTCGCGACATTGATCTAATATTTTGATAATCATAAAAAAAAAAGGCATTTCGTCGATTACGGAAGAAGAAATAAAATAAAGCTTGTCGGAAACTGTAATATATCGTACAGTTAAAATTGATTTATCGAACAGAAGGCCCAAGTACTCGAAGCACTTGAAGACGGAGGTAAGCAACGCTTCGTCTTGAGCGCATGAAAGGAAGAGAATTGAGCCTCTCGGAAAACTTTTTGTGCCTCTTATACACGATAACTCGAACTCCACCAAGGTAGGTTTTATTAGCATTCCGCTAATAATATCGAAAGATCAGAGTCTAATACGCCGCGGCGTATGCAAACTATATGCGCAGGTATGTATGCGTGTATACGTGTGTAATTATATCATTGTGGTGAACACAAAATCAGTTTATAATGTCATGTATAGCTATAATTATCGTAAGACTGTGATATAACGACAGCCGCCGACTGTATAATTTGTTTCGCATTGAACGAAAAGAGATACAATAAAGACGATACCAACAATGTATTTGCTAATCATATTAAGATTGTTCTTCAAGGAGAATTCCATTGTGCTAATGTTCCTTCAATTGATAGATATGTATACCGTTTATTAGCGAAAATTAATTAAATTTCATTCATAGCATTTGTATTTTGAAGATAATTGCAAATAAAAGTGAGCGTATATAACTGCGACGGCTAAATGTGGTAAATCACATAAAATTCTAATTGGCCAGAAATTATCTATAAATATTTTACGTTCATGTTTCATTAAAATGCATGATTCGTATATACTACCGTGAAACGTAACGTCGTACACAGACATTCATACGGATTTATGTCCAATTTCCCACGGTTTTGTTTAAGACAAATTCATAATGCCGCAGCGAATAAATAAAACAAATTTTCACAGAATCCTTGCAAGATAAAAAAGAAACTGTATACCTCAGATATATCGATTGTAAGTAAAAAACACATGACATTTTTTACATATAGAAAATATAATGGATATAATAACATATTGATCAATTTCGTAAATTATTTCATAATTAAGGTAAACGTACCAGTGGCTGAACATGTATCTATACCTGAACACGTAGACAAAATTTATTAATCTCAAATACTTTTTTTATTATAATATCAAAATTTAATTGTAAAAATATTTAAAGATTACAATTAAATTATAATATTATGAAAAAAATAATTTAAAAATAAATTTTAATTATTTAATTATTTAAAAATAAATTATAATATTATGAAAAAAATTATTTAAAAATAAATTTTTGTGTACTTGTTCAGCTATAGATACACGTTCAACCACTGGTACGTTTACCTTACGTTCTATCAAATTTTTTTTATTACAGCTATACAGTTTCCTTTTTCATTTAAATATCAAAAATAATGTTAAGTACTTACCTGTATGGAAGCACGCCGTCGAGAGCCTGCGAAACTGTAGGTGGCGACGCGAGTGCGAATCCTCGTCCAAGTAATGCCGAATGTACGGAGAAAATCCTCTTTGCCGTTTCCTGCATTGACTCCAAATCTTCTTCAATCTCTTCCGCTGAAAATTGTAGTACTGTGGATTAGTTTACCGAGAGAAACCATACATTATTCTTTATACAATTGAAATAGTAAAGAATTGTCTTTTCGAGATATCTTTTCGAAAGTGGATTAACCAGAACATAGTTACACGTATATTAAAATGTTTAAAAGAATATAAGTGTTTAATACATTTACGAATATATTCGTATTTATTGATTTATTAATATGGAACAAGAATTCAACCATGTCGCACTTACAAGAAACTGGGGGCAATGATAAATTCTTCTTCATGAGACTCGCAGCGCATGCTCCTCCAAGAAAGGACAATTCAATTTCCAAATTCTTTAGACCATGGCCAGACGTTATCCAATCATAACCAATAACTAAGCATTTGAACCCGTATGTAATTGAGCTCTCATTCTTCATGTAATCAGATGCAGTTTCCAAGGAAAATATCACTTCATTTCCTAAACACCAAACAATTCATTTAGCGCGTTATATATTATGTAGCATCGTATATTTTTAATTAATGCCGCATACAAACGTACCTGGCAACACAACAGCATTTTGCGGCCACTGACTTTGAACATTACTCAACTTATGTAATACTGGCCAATACAGAGGAGCATCTTCGCCCACATTCAGAACTGTCCTGTGAGGATAAAAAATGAAATATAAACGTAAAATGTAAAAATATAATATATTAAAGTGCGGAAACATTTTATCTACCCTGTGGAGGAGTTCGGAATTATATTTGGTATATAAAGTTGTAGATAATCTTCCGGTTGTGAAGTGCCACATTCTGGAGTAAATTCGACAGTTAGCCACTTTACTGTTTCCGGAAAAGTGACTTTGTAATACGATACTGCCGCCGGTTTATACGGATGTTCGCTTTCTAACCAAGTATAATGATGACTAGTGGTAACTGGAGAAGCAAAGTGTGATTGAGTTTCACTATCTTGGGATATTTGAGAAGTTCCCATTGTGGACATTAAGTTTAAAGCTGCAACATGTGGCAACATCTCTTGTATTAGCGTGAGTATTTGTACACTGCTCTGAAACGTACAAGATAAATATGAATTACATATTTCTCTTATCATCACATCATCTAAGATGTTTGTCTTTAAAAAAAAAAAGGTCTTTAAAATTACTTACTCTAGGATCTGATGTAGCTAAGGGACTAATGTGTGCCATTACTAGCGGTAAAAGAGTCGTTACAAAAGTCGCGTTACCAAGGACTTCATTAGCTATTACTTCTTCTGCTCTTTCCCTTGCCAAAGAAAAAATTTCATTCGACCGTTGAATGATGGTTGAGGTCATTGCGAGAGTACACTTTCTCGCTTGCACTTCCGCCATGGCTTTATTCGTGTGCTGTCCATCGGAATCTTGCGGATTTGAATAATATAAAATATGTGGTATTTGACCCCTAGTTTGTGTTGTGCCTGCAACAAAACAGCATGTTAATAATCTACAAAGTGCATAATACTTTTTTTTTTAACGTAATACATATAGATTTAACGTACCATTACAACTTAGAGAACAAGCCGTGAAGGTAAACGTTGTGCCATCGGCTCCTTTGACAACGCTTAGGCCGCCGTCACCGTTACTAGTTCGTCCTCCACGGTTCCGCAGTCTAATAGCATACTTAACATTCTCTTTAATGAGTACTGGTTTGTCAAATTTCAATTCTACTATGTCATTAATACAGTCATCCGGTCCAAAGGATCCTCTTGTAAAATCTAAGCTACTCCAACGCTGAGTATGTGATGGATCGTTACCAGTGTTATTTTGCTAATATAATAAAATATAACAATTAACATCGCATATAATTTGAACTTACAAGAACAATGAGAATATTTACATATTACTTACATCATCTAACAATTCCAACTCATAATCATATGGTCCCGCGCCTCCATAGATACCGACACCAGCTATAAGAATGCCCGGTCGGTCGACAGAAAAGCAAATAGCGTCTGGAGAACCATTACCCGTGTTCCATGACCTTGACTGATTTGTTCTTGTAAATCTCGAGGGTGTCGTATACATGAGTCTGCCGCAAGCCGCTTGCAATTCGTCCTCATTTCCGCTCGACTGCGCCGCCAATTCGGCGATAACTCGCGCTAACAGATAACAGCAATGAAGAACCAATTCTGGCAGAGACTGGCTCTTCTCTCTGCAAAGGCTCCTTTTGACCGGTATCAATATCAGATCCAGCAATCTGTCGAGCACTTCGCGGAACGACCAATTCAAAATCTCCTTGCCGGAGCTTTCCACTTGGGATTTGTAGCTGATTTGCTCAACCAAAATCGGATACTGATGACTCTCCGTGGAATTCATCATAAGCAGACCGGCATTGTCGGATGGGCTGAGCTGCCGCTTTATGCTGTCGCTGTTGTCCATGATATTGCTCAAGATTGGAAACGTACATCTAAGCCGAATCGCCGAGTTGCACAAAGAAGCCAGCACGGCCGAGAGAAGGCGGTCTTTCGTGGTTGTACCTTGCTCCTTATCGATATCCGATAACAGCTCGCATAAGGAGGTCCATTTAAGATACGCGGTAGGATAAAACGCATGGTAGCAGGCCACAAACGTCTTGTGACATTCGTCCAATATGCTGTTTGTCATTTTATTTCCCAAGGTGCTGCTAGAACTCTTGTTAGATCGCGTCTTTCCCTTACTCTTCAGAGTAATCGGTAGAGAATCGGATAAAATTTGACGCAATAATGCCCGCACTTCGCCTATACATTCCGCCAAACGCACCGACTCGGGAGGGGTTTTCTTAACGACGTGGCTGGGATAAATTTCATTGGTATACGTTCTGAGCAGTCTTAAACTGGCTTTGCTTATGTACACTAATCGTTCCATTTCGAGCATCGCGTGGGTCGATGACGCGATATGAACAGCCATATCGGCCAACGTCGCTTTCAATGTGTTCCAACTCCACTGAAGGAGAGATATTAACGATTGAAAGCACTCCTTCGTGACGGTCCTACTGAACTCCCTCTTCAGGACGTAGACAGGTTCGATCTGGTCTCTCTGCCTGTTTGACGTCTGATTCTCCGGCGTGACAACGCGGTACAATAACTGCGGGATCTGTCCGGCGTTGACGTCGGTGCCGTTGTTGGATCTTTTGGAAGATTTGAAATAAAACACGACTTGATCTTCCGCCGTGACCATTCCTTGTCCACCGGAACCGCAATCGCTGGAAGGTCCGCCGACTTTAGCCCACGCCACGTACCACCTGTTCGCTTGCAGGGATACAGGTTCGTCGAATAACACCGAATACTTCTGCCTTGGACCGCACTCGTACGGAATCTCTTCCGTCTCCGCGAGAAGTTCGCCGTCGTTCTCGTCCCCACCGTCAATCCCGATGTCAAACAGCTTGATCTTCGCGGTGTATTCACCGCGGCCGCCAAACAAACCGTAGCCTCCCAATATAATGTCTGTGTCAGGCATAAATCTAATTGCCTCGATCGAATGAGCGGAGTAACCCCATCCACCTCCGTGGCTCTCGAATCTGCTAACGGTGGCGTAGTCCTCGCGGCTGTAAACCTTGCCGTGCATCGATTGATTACATTCACTTTCTTCAACTATCGACAAGTTTTCGTCTTGAGCCTGCGTCAACGTGTCCAAACAAGCTAATAAATGCATTGCGGCTTGGGAACGCGTCACGAAACAAGTCGGAACGACCGGAAGCGCCAAACCTGGATTGAGCATGGAAGCTTCCAAGCCAGGTATTACCCTGGCTTCCGTCGATATTATATTATATAAGCTTATTTCGTTATTCGCCGAATTGAAAGTCCAAATGACGTTGTACAAAGGATCCAAGCATGCCGCGCAGTTACTGAAATCAACCTGATCCACGCCGCTATAGCTGTTGCACGTTCCATCGCGCTTGCTTATCACCAGACTCTTGAAAGAATTCGCGTGCTCGTTCTGATGGGGTATCAAGATGATGCAATTTTTATTCGCCATAACGGTACTTCTCGTCAAACTAATCGAATTTATTTCGTCTATTTTAACGTAAGTTTGATCTCCAGCGGCGCCGATCCACGTTGCTCGTCTGCCCCATCGAGGACCGATATTCGGTACCACGTTTGGAAAGCTGTGCCACGGCTGGGAGCGGTCGGTGCGACGATTCGCCTGAGAAGTGGCGTTTGTAGATTCGTTCTGACCGTTCCACCAATTCATACCAAGTTGTCCCTTTTGATATGCACCGAACGTGTAAACTTCGCCCTTTGATGTGAGTATAACGGTATGATTGCTCCCAGCGGCCACTTGAGTAGCAATAGTTGGCAATTTAACTTGAATCGGTCCTGCGTGTGCCACCAAATCTCCGACGCCTAACTGACCGTATATGTTACTACCAAACGTGTACACCTCCCCGTTTTGCAAGAGCAGCACCGTGTGATGCAAACCGCAGGACACCTGGATCACAGGACTGTCGCTGGGAACGGGAACTCTGGCCGGTGATATACTGGCAATTCTCGCCGCGTCCCCTCGCTCCACGTCGCTACCGCCGACGCCTTCCTCGACCGTGAGATTAACTCCCAGGCCCAATGCCACTTTCTCCGGAAATCCCTTTTGCACGATACTGGGGCCGGCTACGCGCTGATTATTCGATCCCTTGATTTTCACTCCATACTTGATAGTGCTCGGTCCCGCTTTGCTTCTCTGTCGCTGCTTTATCTCACCCAGTCGTCTCTGCAGATACTCTCGAAAGTTGGAGCCCGATATGCCGTTGCTGCAGCTCTTTCTCGCGCACGTACGACAGCATCCGCATTCCGCGCATCCGCTGTCTCCCTCGCCGCATCCACATTCCTGACCGGGATTCCGATCGGGACGTATACTGCTCAGGCATGATATGCTGTAACCGGTGCATTCCCTGCATATCGTGCAGACCATGCAAACGCGATGCCTCCACTGATGCTGCCCCGGCGGGCACATCCCTCTCGTCTCCTCCCAATCCTCCGCGGGATCCATACTCTCCTCTTCGGCTATAATCAACTCGTCCTCCCCCATACCCATCTCCATCGCGACAACCGACATTTCTTTATTCACGGTATGCACCATCGTCGAATCACGACCGCACTGTCCCTTATTATTTATACCAAACGTATATAGGTGTCCCTTGTTAGTTAACGCGGCGGCATGAGCCTTCCCTAACGACACGCGAACTATACACACGTCCCTTAAATCGGTAACTAACCCTGTCACTGGATCGCTGTGCAGCGTATCTTTACCGAACATTAGTAAAGAGCCATCCTTCGTGACTAAAGCAGTAGATCCGTTGTTACAAGCAGCGTCAACGACAAACTGACCTTCCACTTTTGCCATTTTCTTTGGTTTTACTGGTTTTGGTTGTCGACGAGCTTTGTCTTGAAATAAAATAAATAGTTGCAGAAATTTTGCTGATGTACATTAAAATATTACTAAAATTCATAGTGAACTCACTACTGTCTCCGTCTTCTCCGCGTCTAGCAGTGCCGGCGAATAGTACAGAGCCATCCTCCATGACCATAACGACATGCTGACCATCGTGACCTGCCGCGAAATGCGTGATCCTTGGACCTTTACCAAAGGTAAGTTCCAACCACCTGTTAGGCCTGGTGTTGCTCTTCATGCCTAGGCAAGTTCCTTTCCCGCTATATAATAACTGTAAAAATATTAAATTTAAGATCAAATTAAATGTTTGAATGTTAAGCGATCAGCTGATTAAAATAGTTAAAATAGCCCTCGCATTTACACACTTACTTTTCCAGACACTGTTTTAAGTAAGCCAAATTCCTTTCCTGCTGTAACCATTGCAATTTCATCGTCGCATCCTGGATTTAAAGTATGTATCGCTTGTTCTTCATCAAATGTTGCATATCCAAATATATCTACGCATTTCCTTGCCAATTTCAGTGGTAGCTCAGAGGCAACTGTCACAGGATTGCTCAGCGTATTTATCGTACGTACTACGAAACCCTCCTATTAAGAGAAGATAAAAAAATTGAATTAACATTTCGAATAACAATACATTTATACAATACGAATAACAATACATTTATACGTAATTACACTACTTACATCTTTGCCAGCGGTTATCATTCCTAAATTTTCACCATCAGAAAACATGACGGAGGATGACCAATCTTTTCCTTCCAGCACGGCAATTCCTGTTACTATAAGCGTTTCTGCGTCGATAATTAATAACTCACTCTGCTTTCTAGGTGCGCATTTAAAATATAACGAATTCTGCAAGTAAAAATTTTTTATAAGTCACGTATTTTAGTAAATTGTTGCACCTCATAAATATTAATGCGCAACTAACATTAGCATAACCGAGCCATCCTATTTCCGTCGGATAGAAATCTGCTTTATGTATGTATACATGTCCCCATATCGTACCACTGTGGCCACTTCCAATTTTTAGTAAGCCACGGGATGTATGCAGATATAAATACTTTCCATCGCTTACAAAACTACGTTCATTCAACACCATATTGTTCATCTCATTTGGTAACTTAAGCATAGAGGTATATATCTTGGAACATTTAGGAACGCCATATGTAATCCAATCTGGTCTCACGAGTTTGCCTAACAACACAGCATGAACACTTCTCTGCAGAGACGTTAACACACATGGCATCTGAAAATACAAAAAAGTTAAACTTTATAATAATATATACACTATATATTATAAAACAAACTAAAACTGTGATTGCATCGATGGTAGGATACCTGAATATTTTGTATTGCTAGCGCTCTAGGAGACATAAGCAGAGCCGCTATTGCCGCCAATAGCCGGCCAGTATCTCCTCTCACTACAACGAGACTCAATAAACAAGCACAAGCGACTGCTGTCAAGTGACTGCCATCATTGGCAGCGGCTGACTCAGGACCGTGAGAAGTTGCAAGATCCAGCAACAGATCAAATAATGGATCTAGAAAAAGGGTAAATTATTGAGAAATTTTGTCTATTTGACAATTTAAAAAATCAATTATTTGAAGATACAAACCAATAACGTCATCTGGTTCGGTTTTGAGGCCTTCTGGTAGTTGCCCTTGTAAAACATCCAATAAAGCCGACAGTGCTTTTGTACATAAAATTGGATCGATCGTTCTACTCTCTCGCATCAATGTAAAAACACTTCTTAAACCAATACCTACAATCTATATTAAAACAGTTTTTTTTACAGCTCCATATATTGTATATTACAAAAATTGCATGCATTACATATGAATACAAATTACAAAAATAATAAACAAGTAAATATCACAATGAAAAGCAAAATTAAAGGAATTAATTAATTTTACGTTGCTTTTACCTTTGGTAAATTCTGTATAGTTGATATCCTATCCTCATCATCGCTTTCCGTATCTATAGTGTCGCTAAGATCTGGTGGTGGAGAGTTACAATTTGATGCCCTATAAATCTCACTCGACAGTTTCGCATGTTTTTCTAAAATACCATTTCTCACGCTAGCAAACACAGCGAATGCTGAGGCATTACAAGATGTTTCTATCTCCGGTGGACTATTATAGTTCAATTCTCCATTTAATTCAATCTATATGTATGTAAAAAATATGTAAGATTATACGTTTTATCTCGGAAATTACAGGAAACAAAAAAATTACTAATCGCAATTACCTTTTTCTTGTCTCGTTTGCGAATAGTTTTACTTTTCTTACACTTCCTCCATTCTCCCTTATTCCTAAAAAATATTATAATTCAGTTTATTTAAATTAATTTTTATTTTAATTAAGTGCCAACATAAAACAAACATAACAAAATCTGCGTCTTGTCTTTTACAATTCTGCGTATATAACTTTCTTTTAACTACTATAATAAAATTGTTTTATTATAAATATAATAATTAAATTATGATAATAATCACACAATTAAAATATCACAAAAATATTTATTCCGTTTGTAAAAAAAAATTTTAATGAGTTAGTCTGCATGCATGACTAAAAAATTTTTATATCGTAAGTAAATGCGATTGGAAGTATCCCTATTATATCCGTAGCAGAATTGCTTGCTAAACATGTACGTGTGATTCAAAAAGTTCGGACGAGAAATAAAAGGGAACAAACGGGCGAATTAATCCTTAATAAACAAAAAATTTGAGGTTACGTTCTACGTCGATAAACGCGATCGTGATGCGCGTTTAATTGAAACGCCCGCCGCGCATCAGTTGAACGTTTCTTTCGAATGGGAATGCGATTTACGCGATTTCCAACGAATCGTCGAACCGATCGTGCGGCGGAAGGGACCGGAATCGGCATGCAAAGTCACCGACGACGGCGTCGGGTATGTAAACAAATCGCGTGGAGAGGTTATACGTCACACATTTCGTCCGCACCTCTGCGCCTCGGCGACATTTTTGAAGAGGTCGTAAAAACACTTGGCGTAGCTCTCGGGCTCGGGCAACAGCCTCTCGTCCCCGGACACCATGGTTCGCGCGAAACTCCCGGCATATATGAGTCACCAAGTCATTTTCGTGACACTATTGATCGTTGACAACACTCTCGCTGGGCCGTCGTCCTCCCCCATGTGATAACGCGTTAACGTGCGTACCCCGGGGGATCCTGGAAAGAGGGGAAAAAAGAGGGGGGGGGGCCACCGCGTTGACGGCGACACGCCGCGCGATCGCGGGACTCCGGGGATCCCTCGGTCCGGCCGGTGATTTACTCTCTCGCGGCGCCGCGCACAGCCCACACCGCGAGATTCAAAAAACGCGACCGTCTTCGCTCCGCGTTCCGCGTTTGTTTGTACAAAGTCTCGTCAGAGAGGAACTCTCTGGTCTCGTCTTGAACGGTGTGCCAGGCGGACCGCGATTCGCGTGGACTCGCGTGCTCGCCGCGCGCGCGATACCTCGATAAGTCGAACGGCGTTATCGCGTGCGCGCGCGCGCGCGCGCGCGATACGATTACGCTGCGAGCCTCGCGCGCGAACTTCGTAACGCCGCGGCGGCGGATGAATATTTCACTCGGAATCGCTAAATGTCAAACGTGTTGTCGCGCGCGCGTGAACACGTCACGCGTATGTTTAGCGAGACCGAGAGACGTTTCGCGCGATTGCGCGTACTTATCTCTCGTCGTGGAATTCTATATATAATATACATATATATAATATGTATATATACATATTATTATTCATGCTCTCACATACACTTACGTGTGTGCACACATTCATTCACATGGCACGTCTAATTATAAAGAATATTATAAATGAAAACAACGAAGACAGGACTTTGATACTCGCAAGAAATTGTTTGTCTGAAACATACAATAATAATAAGCCATCGGCCTTATGAAATTTTAATCTTGCACGTATATACGCAATCACGTACATACGTCAGCGACTCGTCTTATGGTTTTTCCGTTCGCGGAGGATGAGAGAAATTGAGAAAAGACGGTTCTCTTGGCACGCGAGTAACGCGAGATCGGGATCAACTATGTAATTGTTTATCGACGGCGGCGACGAGGGACAATCGTTTTGTTTCGCGACCGAGAGAAATATATAGGCATTGAGGGGCTCTCGATTCACGCGGAATCTCGACGGGTTTCGGTGATTCCCGTATTACGCGTGCGTCTCGCACCGCGACACACACACGAAATGCGATACGGCACAATCCGCTGCTGCACACGGGGACACTCACACGTTGTTGGGGGGGTATATATACGTCGATTCGATAACGTGTCACGTCGCGATCACGGTGGGCCCATTCCGTAGAATCCTTACGAAGTATGAGCGGAAAGTACTCGCTACCGTGGAACGCGAGATCGGCAGAGTAATCGTGAGCGGAGCGCGATAAGACACGCATATATGCCTCGCTTCTCGTGCCACACGGCGGAAATCGCTGTTGTGTTGTGGTAGAGTTAACAGGGGACATAACCTCAAAAGAGGCGAGGTGTTGGTATTCGTGATTCGATTCTCTGACTTTTGCAGCCGATGCTGGAAACACCTTGCGGCCGTGCGATCTCGGAGAAAATTTGCTCCCTCGACGGAATTGCTTATCTCGAAGCGGGGCACACGTGCGAGACGCGTATCCGTGCCTTTCGCGCAGAGTTGCGAAAAAGCATCCAGTCATGTACATCGTTTTGCAAAGCACATATCTCGCTTTTTTTTATCTAATCTTTCTCACTTAATTGTCTATCGCGATAGATCGGTAAGCGGCATGTATGATTAAAAATATATTTCACCGGCTGAGAGAGGCGAGTTTTAATGAGGAAGACTCAACACGCGTTTGCTTTTAACTTGCATTTGGTTTACCAAAACTGTAATGTTAGAAGTCACGTGTATGCGAATAAGCAGATAAAAGACACTTGTGTAACACTACATCATTGCGCACATGGTAAAGGGATATGACTTATCATGCCATCGTCTTTTTGGTAAGTAACAATTCCTTGGACGCACGCCTCGCGAAGCGGCGTTTTGTTCATTCGCATTCTGCTTTCAGCCTAGTCAAATGCGAGATTTGATAGTACGATTGTACCGCTGTTCCGTAAATGTAACCTAAACAATAGGCAATAACTTGCTGAAGGGATATTCCAATAAACCAGTGGGAATGGGCAATTGTTTGTGCAAGGATACTCCAGGGATATACGACATTGAGACATATGGCAGTAATAATCGTGCGGAAGCTCAGAATACCATAATACCGGAGCCGAGTATAAGTATAGTTTCGTGCAGCGATTCGGCGTCTCCTTCCTTTAAATTTCCCACATCGTCGCACATCGACAAGCTGGTATTGGAAACACTCGGAAGTCTCGATACTCTGGTAGACAAGTAAGTAACAGATGGTGTATGACGTGCACATGGAAACGTGTGTCTATTTGTTTCTCGTATTATACGCTTGTTTGCATATGTTTAGCGATCATGAGCCACCGCCAGCGATGTTAAAATTGAATTTGATTGCGGACAAGGAAGATGGTTGGATACAAGTGGTTAGTTCTATGGTCAATGTTATTCCAATGAACAATCCATTGGGTCCTTCGGTTATAATATTACTATTAGATGATTGCCCTTTACCTTCAAAGGTCAGAATTTATTTGTAATAATTTATTCTTATTACCAGCATCTCAATTTATTTGCTATATTATTAGAAATCAAAGCAAGAACAGCAACGACGGTAACTCTTTCTCCTATGTTTCGCAGGATTCTGTACTACGATTGTCACAAATGTTTCAATTCCCTCAGAAAGTTGAACAAATACAAATTACAACCACGCAACAGCGCAATATATGCGTAGTACTTGGTTGCATTGCAGAGAAACTTGCCGGTCCTAGTAGTATTGCGATATTGTCTGACGCCACTTTAGATTACCTAGTTTTAAATCTAGTATGTTATTTAATTAATGCTAAAATGCATCACTGATGTAGTATCGATATGTATTAAGTACTTTTCGATATAATTTTATTTCATTTTTAGCGAAAAGAAGTCGAGCCTTATGTAATGTTATATTCTCTGATAGCACTAGAGAAGTTTGCACAGACAAGTAAGAAGAATATTACGTTAATAAACTTTCTGTTTTTTTTTATTGTAAACTAATTATTGCTTGTCAACAGGTGAGAATAAGGTAACGATTAAGAAACGTCTTATGGCAGAAAAGCCAAATCCATTACTGGAATTGGAGAAATGGGTTACGGAAACGCATTACGTACGTCGACAAGTTGGTTTCTGTGCACAGTGGTGTTTAGATAACTTATGTAAGTGTGATGATGTCAAACGCATTTATATGCTCAGTTTTGTAATAAAAATAATTATGTATTTAATCAATTTTTTTTTTCTCTTAAGTCTTAATGGAAGGTAGAAAATATTCCCACGATTCCGTCGATGTGACGGGTATTAATGTAATGTTAAATACGAGAGATGTAAGCGAGTACCTGAAAATATCACCTAATGGCTTGGAGGTGGATATTCTGTTACACTATGTTTTTGCTAGTAGAGATTACGTTGTCATTTTAATATAATGATAATTTATTTTTAGGCACGATGTGACGCATATTCCTTTGAAAGTGTACGATGTACGTTTCAAGTAGATTCGGGAACATGGTATTATGAAACATTGATAATAACTACAGGAGTTATGCAAATTGGATGGGCCACGAAGGATAGCACGTTTTTAAATCATGTAAATATCCGTATTTGAGAATATTTTCTAATTTTTATTTATAAAAATATTGCGTGTAGTATCATTATTTTATAAAAATTATCATTTTTCAATGCTAGGAGGGATATGGTATAGGAGACGATGAATTTTCTTTGGCCTACGATGGTTGTCGTCGACTGATTTGGTATAATGCACGAAGTGAAAAATTTCACGACAGACCGTGTTGGAAAGCTGGTGATATCTTGGGTTGCTTATTGGATTTAAATAAACTAGAGATAATATTCTCTATTAATGGTGTACCACTTAAACCGTGCATTCAAGTATTTAAAACAGTAAGGTTCGTATAATTTGTCTTTTTTTTTTTCAACATGCCGCGAATGACCAAGCAGAGCTATTAACAATATTGTCTATGATTATTTTTAGGTCTGGATTCTTTGCAGCGGCTAGTTTCATGTCATTCCAACAATGCCTATTTAATTTTGGACATTTACCTTTTAAATATCCACCTACTGATCGAGAATTTCAGAAGTTCAACGACTACGCTACATTGAAACCAGAAGACAAGATCATACTTCCTAGGCACATATACCTAGATCAATTACGAAGGCTTAGTGTTAGGGAAGATTCCTGTACATTATGTTTCGATCAGAAGGCATCAGTAAGGTTACTGCCATGCAATCATAGGTATAATATAATTGTATTTAAATTCCGAGTTTCATGAAACCAGCAATTTTTTTGTACAACAATCTATATAATGCAATAATCGATTTATTTTTACAGAGGATTCTGCCAAAGGTGTTCAAAACAGCTGATTGAATGCCCAATGTGTAGAGCTACTATTGAAGAAGTAGCCTCAGATAACATATGACATCAATCATCTCATACCAATGTTTACGAATTCTTTCATCATTTCCTTTTTGTCATGCAATTTTTATGGAAATACCACGAGATAATCATAAATATAGATAGTTATTTACGTCGTGTACTGTATACAGTTGTCACGTGTCACATAGTATTTTTCTCTATACAGTACAGTGCATTAACAGATAGAAGGAACTACAAATTAATTGTAGAGAAACGAATTCCGTGATAATGCATTGCAAAGATTTGAATAAGTTTGTATTTTAAAAATCAAAGATCTTAAAGATTGATGCGTAAACAAATGTTTTACAAAGACAAAACATTCTTGAAACTTTTCCATATTTCTCTATATTTTTTCTACTATATTATAGATTTATAGCAAGATACTTTGTGATTCAAACGATGTCCTCATTAACATTAACTTCAAGAGATTAAAATGTATAAATGGCTATACATTAAATTAATATGATTAATAAATAGAGAAACAAATAGACGGGAGGAAATTCTAATATATCGGAGGAAACCATAAATCAGAAGGCGAGCGTAAATCAGAGAAATCAGGAGCTCAAACTCCATATAGGCACTTTTGATGGAAGTGACGTATGTATTTGTTATCACAAAAAGTATCACAAACAAAATTTGTTATATTGATTAAAATGAGCGCTAGTAGCTTTCATGGTATCGAATACAATGGTTGCTCTATCGATTGTGTTTATATATCCTCGCTTTAAAACTATGACTGAATCATAAAATTCAAAGGATTATTTATTCTTTAACTTGAAAATATATTTCCTCTTAGAATTTCAAAAGTTCAGATTATATCTTCAAACTGTTTAAATTCTTAATAAGTTGCGTAAGTGAACATTTATAACTCTAGTGATATAATGTAAATTTATCTTTAAGAAACTGTGAAATACTGATAGTATATATTAAATCAAAGTACATACACATACACACAAACACACATACACACATTATATTCTTGGGAAGATATAAAGAGAAATTTAATGTTTTATCATATACATGTATTTTGCAAACATTTTTTTATAAAGTCTTATTTTCGTTATCAATCACCTCTCCCGTTATTCTAATGCAAATAACACCCGATATTTCCGGTAGTAAATTTACATATTTAGAAAATAATTTATTTCTGCAATAATGCATCTATTTTTAGCAATAATGTATATGTACGTCTCATTCTCAGTATCTAGATTAGATATAACAATACTTTGAACAAGATTTTTTTACAAGTTTACTCTAATTGTCCCTTCTTACACATTAAATAGTGTAATTCGAAGAGTACTATTTATATATTTCATTATGTGAAATAGGATATTTATAAATTAATTGAATCATGTGACTGAAAAACTTGTTTTTGTATTAAAACAAAATCATTAAAATTTAGTTTCAGATAAAAATAACGTCGTTGCTCGTTTAGCATGCCATTATATATCGTTTGAAAAATGTTGTTATAAGAAACTATGTGATAGAAAATTTACCTGTGTTGACATAGTTCTTGTAGTCATAGTACGTTTCACACGAGAACCATGTCTACATTATTAGCCTCTCAGAGTTTCTATCTCGAAAATAACATGCCTCGCATAGATCAATTAAATCTATTATTAGATCATCTAAAATATTTTCTTCAAACTAGAAGATGATCGCTGTCGCTACTAATTGCTATTTCAATTAATTTGTGCATATAATATGGATTTGTAGAAATTCATTGTATAAGTAATCAATTAATTTTTTTTTATGTTAAAAATAGCGTATCGTATCTATGTAATAATGTATAACGATGATCGCCTGATACTTTTTTTCAGTATTCCACGATATTATATGCAATATTTAGTCTCAATCTGCATAATTTATAGAAAATATAAAAAAAATTAGACATTTAATCACGAATTAGTACAGTAGGTGTAATTAAACAATTTTAAATTTTCAATGCGCTAGCTGTTTAAAAAAAAAGTCACTTACACATAATTTTTTCGAAAAAATATAAGGGTTATTTTCACGTATTTTTGACATAGGAATCTATACTCATCGGAATTTCACTATACAAATTTCAAAGTGTACAGCAATTAATATCGATGAAACGGCATTGATCGCGAAAAAAACTCGCAAGAACTGATACATTTCGAAGATCGTCCGTCGCTTCAACTGGTGCTTCTAATAAAAATTTTCGTTTATTATACGTTTTTAACGGATAAAATTCGCGATTACTTCGCGAAGCGACGAGCTCGATTCGCGTTCCGAACCAACGCGCGACGCGCTACAATAACGTACTGGGCTGCGTTCAGAAACTTCACCCAGGTGCATCTAAATATAATATCATTTTATCCTTGTTTAATATTCGGTGATTAACAAAGATAAACTGATATACTGTGATTTTCTGAACGCGCCCCTGTCATGGCACTCCATTATATTGATGCATAAGATTCACATGATTGTGCATGCCGCGATATACAATCACCAATCGCGAATTTTCTAATATTATAAATAGGTAGAATATAATTGGCATAATATTAAATTTTTGACGTATTTTATGAAAAGGTCAATCGCACTAATTTGATTCTTTCGAAAACATAAGAATCATTCTCGCATGCTTTTCGCACAGAAATCTGAATTTATAACCGTACCAATTTCAAAATACCGATTGCAGTATCGATTATGATTGATATCGATCGCAAAAACTAGTAGCTCATTTAAATAATTATTTAAAAAAAATTTTTTTTAAATATCCCAAATTCAGGGTGTGGAATTCCACACCCATGGGATCTCTGGGTGTGGAAAGCTCCATACCCTCTATCAGGAAGTCTCCGTCTCTGTCAGAAATCTAAATCCTACAACGAATAATCGAAATAATAAATCGCACGAAAATTTTTGCTTAAATTTACTTAACGACTTTACGTACGTGCCACCTTTTGCATTGAAGATGTAAAGCGCTCGAAAGGCGATCGAAAGTGAGAGATCGTATTCCGTAGGCGCGGATTCATATTTCGTAATATATCGAAATGACGCCGCCGAGCGCTCGCGAGTGTCATATCGAACGAGAAGTCTCGACTCGCGGCGCGATCCGAGTTGGGCGCGTGGCCGCGGGAGCGCGCCGCAGTTTGTTACAAGATGGCGGGTGAGTGAGTGCCTGTGGATGGGACGAGACTGCTCTGAAAACACGAGGGATTTTCCGCTAACCCGTGGTGTTTGTGGGTTTCAGATATATCCTACATCCAGACAGAGGATCTAGAGGACCCGGACGAGGGTGAGTACCCCGTGCGTGCACGCGCACGCGTATTTCACGAGGGCCGATCGTATGCCGTCGCACGCGCGCGACATTGGAGCAAGCTCGGTTTGTTCGACTCGGAGCTCCGCTCGGTATCGTGCACGGCGAAACCCCCCGTCGGGCGGCGCGCCGCCCGCCGGATGTCACGAGGCACGTGCGTGCGTGCCGGGCGACGCGCGGCACGCGGGACCGCGGCGATGCGGCGTGGTTTCAGCGCGGCACCCCGCCGCGGATTTCGAGGTTAGGATCGCGGTGCGCCACCGCCGCCGCCGCGGCGCGAGACCGGGCCGGGCGTGCCGCGACAGACGTCGCGCGTACACCGGCCGTCGTCGAGGCGGAGAATGTTTCACGCGCGGGGTGACCGCGCTCGGCGTGCTCCCGCATACGCGATCGCAATGTGCCGCCGCCGCTGTCGCGCGCGCGGGGAGCGCGTTTCGCGAGATCACGGGGCGGTTCTGTCCGTCGAGAGGGGGCGCCACGCCATGCAACGCCACGCCGCGCTCCGTGTTTATCTCGGCGAGAAGGAAAAAAAAAAGATAAGGAGCGAGACGCGGCTGCGGCAACGAGAAAGAGAGAGAGAAAGAGAGAGAAGGCATGCGTTTCGCGTCGTGTATGTGTCTCTTCGTCAACGCCGTTGTGCTCCGGCGAGGACGAATGCGAAAAAACGTCATTCGAAACTGGATCGCTTTCCCAATGTCGGCCGGGATCTCTATCTCGGAGCAACCACCTGCGGTTCGTATTGTATAAACGTAACGTAGATCGTGATACACTGGCGCACTGGCGCCAGATCGATAACGATCTCGGGAGATTTCACATGGCGCCAGTATATTTGGCGTTGTGTTGGTTGTCGATCGCAGATAAAATATTCGCCTAGCGCTCGACCGCGCTATCGCGCGAAAATTGACACTGCATCACGACGATCATGTTTTATGAGAAGCGTATCGCGTTTCTGAAAATTAATCTTGAGATCAATAACTTTTAGAAGTAACGCGTCCAGCGCTAGTTGTTACAATAGACGGTATCTTGCACGGGTTCCCGTTGAAATTCAAAGTTGAGTAGAAGTCTTCCTCGCTTGTGTGTCTATATAACGCAGAAATGTAAATTTATCGAAATTACAGCAATTTTAATCCGCTGTTAAAGACATGTTGCAGCAGCCTCAATTTTGTAGATGAGAAACAACAAAAGTCGAATATATGATTGATATATACAACAGGCACATGTGGATGCCATTATAACTGAAAACGCGTAATGACCGTCCGCCGACGTCTAAAATACAGTGTATTCGAGGCGCAGAGGAGTTCGGACGAAGGTCAGAGTCACGAAGAGTGGCGGCATCTCGGCAGATTAAAGAAAACGGCGCAGTTAGCGCGCGCGATTCCTTCCCCTATCGGGGTTACTGATCTCGGGTTCCTCTTCTATCGTCTATTCGCGAGTGCCATCTGTCGTAAGTAGGGCCGTATCAGGGATCGCCGGTCCTCCCGATGATCCAAAAACCCGCCCGAGTTTCCTCACGTTTCGTTAACAAATGCAGCTGAGAACGCTCGTGCGCGGATACCGAATGCACTTTTGTAGTCAAACGCGAATAATTTGTCTCATGATTATGCGTCACATAATGAAACTCCAGTTCGTTCCGCTCGGAACACGCATACGCATTTATCTTTGGGTCTTCCTACTCCGTTTCTCTGTCTCTTTCTCTCTCATCCTCGCGGGTATCTTCTCCGTCGACGACAACCAAGCTGGTCCTAGCCGCCTTTATCTTGCATTCCAGAGACTGTTTTATCAGCTCCGCGCCGCTTATATTTCTAAACGTGTCTAGATAGAGAGAAGAATTTGGATCAGTAACCTT